GCGCTCTGGTAGGATCTCCGCGGTCCTGGGCCTACACGCCAGAATCGCATCCTACGCCTGTGGGAACACTGGGCCCTTGTTGAGGCCGCTTAGCTCCTCATCTCCATTAGGCGGTCGGGTTCATTACCCGCGCGAGTTCAGACGTGCCAGGGGCAGGAGGTCAGGGCCACAACGAAAAGAAGGAGCAGGAGGGGGCCAACTGGAGCTGAAGCACTTAGCCCCTTGCAGAACACCGTGGGGCTTCAGGGGCCAACGTGGCCGAAGAGGCCCCGCGGTGCCAATGGCCTAGTTCCCTGGAGCGCTGGGCTCTTGTGGAGGCCACTGGGCCCGCTTCCTGTGAGTGATCTCTAAAAGGGCGGCGCGTCGCCCTGAGCCTTCCTACGCACGCTGTCGCCTTATTCCCGTGCGAGCACTGGGCCCTTGTTGAGGCCGCTTGGCCCCTGCTAGCAAACCCCTGCAGAGCGTCCGCGCGCCCTGGAGCACTTTTGAGAGCGCCCACTTGCTCTGGAGCATTTTTCAGAGCGCCCACTTGCTCTGGAGCACTTTGCGGAACGCCCAAACAAGCACGGCCACTCTGAGCTGGTTGTAAAGTGGTCCGTTCTGGTTGTAAAAGGGCACATTCTGGTTGTGTAAAGTGGTCCGTTCTGGTTGTAAAGTGGGCCGTCCTGGTTGCAAAATGGACGTTCTCGATGAAAAACCTACTTTCCCATCCAATGTTGGTTGTAAAGTAACCCATCTGGTTGTAAAGTGGTTGTTCTGGTTGTAAAGAGACCGAATCTCAGCCCCCCCCCCCAACCAGGAAGAACCCAAGTCGGATCGGAAAATTCTGATATAGGTCCGGGACCCCGCCTATCTGTCTGGAAAAATTTGGGGGTCCGGAACTCCCCTCCCCCCGTCCCCTGGGAAAAATGACCCCCCCCCGGAGGAAAAACTGGAGGCAATCCATAAGTCCCCCACCCCCGCGACGACGACGACGACGCCGACGATGACGGCGACTGCGACGGCGACAACGACGCCGCCGCCGACGACGAGGCCAATGACGACGGCGGCGGCGACGGCGGCGACGACGACGACAACGCACGGCGCAAGACACACGACGCACGACGTCCACACCGACGGCGACGACGCCGACGACCACGATGGCGACGACGACAACGACGACGGCGACAACGACGGCGACGACGACGAAAACGAAGACGACGACGTCAGCGGCGGCGGCGGCGCACCTGTCGCCAGCGGCCGCGCTAGGCGCTGGCTTTGATAGAATGCTACGAGGGAAGATTCAGCTTTCTCGGTATCGCACTAGGGCTCTATTGTACTCTACCCTACTCCACCCTACTCTACTCTACCCGACGTTCTTCGACTCGGCTCTACTCTGTCCTACTCTAAATCTACCCTACTCTACTCTACCCTAACCGTACCTTGGCATATTCTGCTCTACTCCGCTTTAAACTTGCTCTGCTTTACTGTGCTCCTTATCTGCTCCAATATACTCTCTTATGCTCTACTCTACTCTGCCCTACTCTACTCTACCCGGCTCCACCCTACTGTACCACGACCTACTCTACTGTACTCACCGCGCTCGTACTCTACTCTACTCTACACTACCCCTTTGTCTGCTCGATCGTACTCAGCTCAACTCGCTCTACTTCATTTCTGCTCTACTGCACTCATCTACTCTTCTCTACTCGAATATGTTTGCCCCGCCTCTATTATACCCTACTCTACTCGATCTTACCGTGCCCTGACATACTCTACTCTATGACACGTTGATCTGATGATATGTTCCTCCACCCCTTATCTAATCTACTCTACTCTCCTTTACTCTTCTCTACTCTGGCCTCCTCTACTCTACCCTATCCTACCGTACCCCAACATACTCTTCTACTCCACTCTAGTCCTACTCAGCTCGACTCAACTCTACTAGTGTTCCTGATATACGATATCCATATACTCTTATCTACCCGTCTCCTTCTCTACCCCTTCTCTGATCTAAACCTCCCTACGCTACTCTAGCCGACTCTACTCCACCCTACCGCATTCCACGCTTGTGCATTATACTCGACTGTTCTCTACCATCTATTATACTCCTATCGCACTCTCCTCTACGCCCACTCTACTCTGCTCTATGTCGTCCTCTTCGCAATGTGTCGTCGTCGTCATCGTCGCGGTCGTCAACGTCGAAGGCGAAGTCGTCGCATCGTCGTCTCCGCCGCTGACGTCGTCGTCGTTCTCGCGTCGGCATCGTCGCCGGCGTGCGTCAGGCGGCGTGCGTCGTGCGTGATGAATCGTGCGACGTTGTCGAGTTGATCGTCGTCATCGTCGTCGTCGTCGGGCATCGTCGTGGTCGTCAATGTCGTCGTCGTCGTCGTCGCGGTCGTTGTTGTCGTCGTAGTCGTTGTCGTCGTCGTCGTCGTCGTCCTCGTCGTCGCGGGCGTCGTCGTCGTCGTCGCGTCGGCGTCGTCATCGTCGTGGTCGTGCATCGTGCGTCATGCGTCGTGCGTCGCGCGTCGTCGTCGTCGTTGTCGTCGTCGTCGTCGTCGTCGGTGGTCGTTGTGCGTCGTGCGTCGTGCGTGGTGCGTCGTCGACGTCGTCGTCGCCGCCGCCGCCGTCGCTGCCGTCATCGCCGTCGTCGTCGTGTTCGTCGTCGTCGTCGTTGCGGGGGGGGGGGTCCGGACCCCCTCAAGTAATTTTCTCATGGATGTTCCCCCGGGGGGGCGGAAGGATTTTCAGATCCCCCCCCATTCACTTTCCTGGGGGGGGGCCCTGAACCTCTCCCCCTCCTCGTGGCGGGGGGGGAGGTTGAACCCCCCCCCCCTGCCAGCAGCGGCACAAACCGCTCTTTTGGATGTATTGAAGCATCGCTGATGCATCCTTTGTTTGCTCTGGTTTCCTCCTCCCCCACCCCCCTCCCCCTCTCGACGATCTGGAAGGCATTCGGTAACGCAAACGTGTGCTGTCCGCAGAAACCCTTCGATATGTATAACGCTTTGCACTGATGGATATCAGAGACTCCACCACTTTCGGCGGCCCTTGCGCACATACACCTGCGTTGGGCTACCCTACGTGCCGTGAGACCTCGATCCTTGTCCTCCACGTCCTTACTCTTCCTCCTCCTCGACCTCCTTCTGTCTACTGCTGGCACGCCACAAATGGGTGCAATAACAACAAAGTCTACGATGCCCAGCGAACGTCGCCCAAAACGGGCAGAGGCCGCTGAGGGGCAAGCGATCTTGTGCCTCACATGGGCAACGTCCGTGGCGGCATCGACTGCGAGTCCTGTTCTGAATGAACAAGAACTGCTGTCGGTCTTCGTAACCATTGCTTCCCTACCAACGTCGATCGTACCGATTCTACTGCTCGCCCGTCCGCTCTGGACACACACACACACACACACACACATCTCCGAACACTCACTCCCCTCGTCCATGCCCTCGCCCTCTCGCCCGCCCTTTTTGCCCGAGTCGCCCGCGCCATGGAGTTCCCTCGGCCTCGTTCCCCAGGACCGTCCCAGGAACGGCGCCAGACGTCGACAAGTTGAATCAAACCTGCTTTTGTCGAGTCGCCCGCGTCATGTAACTCCCTCGTCCCCTCTCCCAGGACTGGCTGTTTCATCCTTCATCCCCCTCTGACGACCCCAGGGCCATGGAACGGCCCCCAGACGACGAACATGCAAAACATCTGCAAGCAATACCACGTCTGAGAGGCGTGATTCCTGTCAACAGATTCGGCACAATGCAGCGAGGCAACGAGTAGAGTGTCGCTGCACGGAAAGAGGCGTCCCGGGGGGTTCCCCCCTCGTCCTCAAAACGGAATTGGACTTACGTGCCGCAACCGCAAAAGGGTCGCGACCGCAGAGCCGGGCATCGATGTGGGACAAGCGACGCCCCCTTAGAGCAGCTGCCGTAAAATACACGAGAATACCGACGCCGTAGAGCTTCAGGAACAAGCGAGGGGGGACGAAAAGCCAGGACAGCAAAGGTCAGGGTAGAGAATTCGCTCACGTAGCCGGTCTTCCTGGCGCCTCCTGGCCATGGGAGGCGCCCATGCGTCGAGGAATGGGCCTGGCGGCGGGGCGGAAACCAGCTGCATGCCGCAAATTTCATAACCACCCCCTCCCCCATCCCCTCCTTTCGTCACGCCCAGAAACAAAACGAGGGGCATCCGGGGGTCGGCCCCAGGGTGGGGCGCCCCTCGAACACCGCACTGCCGAGAGGGCAGGGTACGATCTGCATCTGCGCTCGCCGCTGTCGTCGTCGTCGTCGTCAGCGTGGAACGTGACCCAACTTGTCTTGGCAGTGACCCGCGGATGGCGGGCTCACCACTCCTGGCCAATTCTGAGAGCAACCCAACCCGAGCCTCGCGCGAACCGACGCCTGAGCGCGTGGGCACCCCAAGGCGCCTCTGCTTCTCCTCGCCGTCGCGCCGGCGGTGCGTGCAGGGTGAGAAGAACGTCCCCACTCGTCCTTGACCCGTTCACGTCGGGAATTGCAATTTGCTTGACAAGACCCAGGCCCCCAAGGTCTGGGCGCAGCTTGGGCGCCCCGCGTGACATTCCCAGTGGAAAACAAATATTCAAAGCGTTATGCGTTTCGATGTTGCCAGCTCCAGGGGACAGTACCACGAAGAGGCCTTGGGGGTGGCGTGGTGGGGAGAAGGGCAGAAGGCAGCTAGATAGATTCCAACACCTCTCAACCCCCAAAACGACCCAAGATGCCCTTTCCCAGCGTTCCCCAAATGGTTTCCCCAACGGCTGGGGGAACACGCCCTCCACCATCGTGGCTGCACTTTCGCTCAACATTTCTCGACACAGGCCCTTCTCACAGTCAGGGGGGCAGCGGTGAGTCGCTGTATGCGTCAGCGACAAACTCCCGCACCTCCCTATGTATGCGTTTGGGGCAGATGTTTAGTGGGAGTTCACATGCACCAGTGAACAGCATCATTCAATCACTGCCTCGGTCCTTGACCCTCCCCCCCCTCCTGGCCCTCCTCAGCCCCGCCTTCGCGAACTTGGGGCAGGTCGCGCACATGTTGTCCGCGTCCGGCGCGGCGAGACAGCAGAAGCCCCCACCCTCCTCCCGGGACCGGCGGGGGAAATAGAGCAGGTATCTCTTCAATTCAGCTGTCTCACTCGGCGCCTGGAAGACGCGTCGGGAAACAACAAAAGATAGAAACCTAGTCTCGAGGAGCGCCGAAGATCCGGACTCATCGAGGGGGGGAAGACTCTGAGGCCTGCATCGAAGTGGTACCGCCGACGTTCGGACGCTGTGCGTGTCGAGAAGAACATCGCTTGCAATGCCACGCGGACCTCATGAGTGAATTATAACACTGCGAAGCCACTAAGAACCCCCTTTGGAAATAAATAGTCCAGGGGGGATTCAGTGGAACGATATCTTTAGCACCGCACCGACTAAATAATTGTTGCCCCCCGTTCGGCCGCAAAAACTCATCATTTTCCTCCGTCGACCGTAATTATTGCCTTCGCCTTCGACCGCAAGCTACGGGGTCCTCTCTCCTTCCTCCTCCTCCTCCTCCTCCCCTTCCTCCTCCCCCTCCTCCTCCTCATCCTCCTCCTCATATCTTGCCTCCTCACAGGCACTCCTTCCTCAATCTTTCTCTTTCTCGTCACCGTCCCTGTCCTATCCGATTCCTGTTTTTACACCCCAGCGCGAAATTGATTTTCGTCAGCCGTCCCAGGGGGTGGCCCGGACCAAAATGACGCCCTCGCCCTGCACGCAGCGTTAACATAATAAAACAATGATCCCCCGTCCTAGTAGCAGTAGTAGTAGTAGTAGTAGAAGTAGTAAAGTAGTAGAAGTAGAAGTAGAAGTAGTAGTAGTCGTAGTAGTAGTAGTAGTAGTAGTAGTAGTAGTAGCAGCGCGAGTAATAGTAGTAGTGGTAGTAGTAGTAGTAGTAGTAGTAGTAGTAGTAGTAGTAGTAGTAGTAGTAGTAGTCGTAGCAATAGTAGTAGTGATGGTAGTAATCGCATTCGTAGTCGTAATCGTAGTCGTAGTAGTAGTAGTAGTAGTAGTAGTAGTAGTAGTAACAGTAGTAGTAGTAGTAGTAGTAGTAGTTGTAATAGTGGTAGTAGTAGTAGTAGTAGTAGTAGTAGTAAAAGTAGTAAAAGTAGTAGCAGTAGTAGTAGCAATAGTCGTAGTAGTAGTCGTAGTAGTAGTAGTAGTAGTAGTAGTAGTAGTAGTAGTAGTACTTGTCGCAGTAATCGTGGGAGTACTGATGATAGCAGTGGTGTAGAAGTAGTAGTTGTAGTAGTAGTAGTAGTAACAGTAGTAATAGCAGTGGTAGTAATAGTAGTAGTCGTAGTAGTAGTAGTAGTAGTAGTAGTAATAGTAGTAGTAGTAGTAGTAGTAATAGTAGTCGTAGTAGTAGTAGTAGTAGTAGTAGTAGTAGTAGTAGTAATACTGATAGTAGTACTAGTTGTAGTAAGTGTAGCAGTTGTGGTAGTAGTAGTACTCGTAATCGAGGTGGTGGTAGAGGTGGTGGAAATAATGGTAGTCGCCGTTGCCGCCGTACTCGCAGCCGCAATAGGAAGTAGTAGCAGTAAGAGTTGGTATTAGTAATAGTAGAAGTAGTAGTCGTAATAGTAGTGGCCGTAGTAGCCGTAGTAGTAGTAGTAGTAGTAGTAGTAGCAATAGTAGTAGTAGTAGTAGTAGTAGTAGTAGTTATCGTACTCGTAGTGGTGGCAGTCGTAGTAGTAATCGTAAGACAACGAGGTCGACGCAGAAATCGTAGTAGTGGTAGTAGCAGTAGTAGTCGCGGCAGTAGCAGTTGAGATGCTAGTAGTAGTAGTAGTAGTAGTAGTAGTAGTAAAAGTAGTAGTAATAGTAGTAGTAGTAGTAGTAGTAGTAGTAGTAGTCGTAGTAGTAGTAGTAGTTGGCTTGCTATCCTGGCCTCTTCTCGCGTCTTCTCGCGCTAGCTGGCCTGGGTGGCGGTACTGGGGTCGCCCCGTGTGCTGCTGTACCGCCGCTGGCGCTTCACTTTGGGCCGTTGGGACCAGCTGCCCTCGGACAAGCGCCTGACGCTGCAAGCACGTCAGACCCGCCCTTTAACCCAGAAGAGGTGCCCGTTACATACTGGCAGTGAGGCAGCCACAAGGACGCGCTTCCCTAGGTGGTTGGGCCGTGGTGATGTGGTGCACGAGACCGCCAGTAGCAGTAGTAGTAGTAGTGGTGGTAGTAGTAGTAGTAGCTGTACTCGTAATAGTGGTAAGAGTCGTCGTACTAGTAGTAGAAGTAGTAGTAGTCGTAGTAGGAGAAGCTGTGATAGTCTTACAATAAAACTTCTGGTAGTCGTGGCTGTACGAGCAGAGTTGACGACGAATCATACGTAGTACTACTAGCAATGACGGTCCGAGTTGTGATAATAGAAGAAGCAGCAGCCGTAGTAATAATAGTAGTAGCAGTAACAGTAGTAATAGCAGTAGTAGTCGTCGCAGTAGTACTAGTAAGCGTACATAATAATGGTAGTAGCACTAGTAGTAATAATAGAAATAGAGGCAGTAGTGATGAAGTTTATCGCAGACATAGAATTAGCAGCCGCCGTAGACTCGTCGTAATCGTAGTAGTAGTAGTAGTGGAAATGATAACAGTCGTAGCAGTGCGACTACGTCGTACTACGTGAACTTCGCCGACGACGACTACTACAACCACGGCAACAACTACGACTACTACTGCTACTACTACTCGCACTACGACTACTACTACCAGTCGCAGTAACAATGGTAATCATATATGGTCGTAGAACTCCTAGTAGTAGTAGTACGGACAATGGTCGTTTCAGTAGTCGTAGTAGCAATAGTAGTAGTAGTGGTAGTAGTCGTAGTAGTAAAAATTAGTAGTATTAGTAATAAGAGAAGACCTCGTCGCCATCGTAATAGTAAAAACCGTAGTAGGCGCAGCCGTAGTGGCACTATGCATTCGACAACGCCGTGGGCTACTGATGGTGGTCGTACTGGTAGTAGTGACGCGCAGTAGCAGGTTAGTGCCAATGATTAGTACTAGTACTGCTGAATAAAGGTTGACGTGGTGGTAGTAGTAGTAGTAATGGTAGTAGTAGTAGTAGTAGTAGTAGTAATAGTAGTAGTAATAGTGGAAGTAGTCGTAGCACTATCGTAGTAGCATGAATCGTAACAATATGGTAGAATAACGAATCGTAGTCGCAGTCGCAATCGTAGTAAGGACCGTCGTCGCTGTAGAAATCGTTCTAAGACTTGGCGTGGTAGCAGTACTAGTCGTAGTAATCGTAGTAGTAGTAGTAGTAGTAGTAGTAGTAGTAGTAGTAGTAGTAGTAGTAGTAGTAGTAGTAGTAGTAGTAGTAGTAGTAGTACTAGTAGTCGTAGTAGTAGTAGTAGTAGTAGTAGAAGTCATAGTAGTATTAGTAGTAGAGGTAGTAGTAGTAGTAGTAGTAGTAGTAGTAGTAGTAGTAGTAGTAGTAGTAGTAGTAGTAGTAGTAGTAGTCGTAGTCGTAGTAGTGAAGAGTAGTGGTGGTAGTGGTAGTAGTAGTAGTAGCAATAGTAGTAGTCGTAGTCGTAGTAGTAGTTGTAGTTGTAGTAGTAGTCGTAGTAGTAGTGGTAGTAGGAGTAGTAGTAGTAGTAGTAGTAGTAGTGGTAGCAGTGGTAGTAGTCGTGGTATTAGTAGCACTAGTAGTAGCAAACGTAGCAATAGTTTTTTGTAGTCGCAGGAGTAGTAGTAGTAGTAGTAGTAGTAGTAGTAGTAATAATATTCGTGGTCGTGGTACTGGGTCGTATGTGTAGTGGTAGTAGCAAATTTGGTAGAACTATTAGTAGTCGTAGCAGTAATAATAGTAACAATGACTGTACGTTTCAAACAACAACAAAACAAAACAGATGTCCGGGGATGTCCAGAATTCCTCCTGGATTCCCCGGGCGTGTCGCGCGCGTCTTCCGGCGGCACAGCCAGCCAAACATTGGCCCAAAAAACAACAAAGACCGTCGAAAATGCGTCGGTGAGGGCCCAACTGCGCCCAAGATGGTCTCAACGCGGCCCAAGAGGCCCCGAAGTCTCTCCACCAGTGTTCCAAAAGGCGTCCGAAGAGGGCGCCAAATCGCAACAATCATTGATGTTCCTTCGGTTTTTGAAAATGACTCGCCTTGTCGCCTCTGCGGCTGTCCGACGATCCGAAGCGGCCGACCAGGCCCACAAGACCCCCCCAGGACGGCCGCTGAGGACCTCACTGGCGGGATGGGCCGAGCGACAATCGATAGTTGTACTCAGTAGTATTTGAAAACATGCAGATTTCGTAGTAGTGATGATAGAAGACGCGAGAGTGGTACAAGTAGTAGTCGCCGTAGTAGTAGTAGTAGTACTAGTAGTATTCGTATTAGTAGTAGTAGTAGTAGTAGTAGTAGTAGTAGTAGTAGTAGTAGTAGTAGTAGTAGTAGTAGTACTAGTCCTAGTAGTAGTGGTAGTAGTAGTAGTAGTACTAGTAGCAGTAGTAGTACTAGTACTGGTAGTAGTAGCAGTAGTAGTAGTAGTAGTAGTGGTAGTAGTAGTAGTAGTCGTCGTAGTAGTAGTAGTAGTAGCAATAGTAGTAGTAGTAGTAGTAGTAGTAGTAGTAGTAGTACTAGTAGTAGTAGTAACAAATTAATAATAGTAATCGTAATAATCGTAGTCGAAATATGAATACTAATAATAGTAGTAGTAGTAATAGTAGTAGCAGCAGTATTAGTAGTAGAAATATGACTCGTAGTCGCCGTCGTAGTCATGATCGTGGTCGCAGCAGTCGTACTGCATTATTATTATTATTTATTAAACAGTAATTGTAGTAGTAGCCGTAGTAAGTGAAAAACTAATACTGGTATTAGCCGTTGTAGTCGCAGTCGTAGTAGTAGTCGTAGTCGTAGTGGTGGCAGTAATAGCACTAGAACTACCTGTAGCGGTCGCAGTCGTAGCACCACCAACAACAGTAGTAGTAGTACTAGTAGTACTAATAGTAGCAGTAGTAGTAGTAGTAGTAGTAGTAGTCGAAGACATAGTAGTACGAGTGGTAGTAGCAGTAGTAGCAGTAGCAACACTGGTAGTGATGATGCTCATAATTC